GTAGTGCAGACTTCTGTTCTAGCGAGGTTGGCTCGAATGTGCTCAGTTTCCCATCCCGAGGCCAATGTAATATACATGACCTCATATTGCTGCGTGCTTGTGTCAACCATCTCTTGTCAACAATATGGGAAAATCACGTACGCTCTGTCACCGATCACAGAGTGCTTGGCCGCAAGTTGCATCGCTAGTTTGCCCATCTGCTGCCCGAATCTGAAGTGTGCCTTGCGTTCCGCTGCGACACCCAGAGCCCACATAAATCCTCCAGGACTACCAGTGGAGATCCCATGTCTGGAAATGATTGATGAACATCAACTTGTGTCGTATTAGGTATAACGCACTTTAAGCTCAGTTCGATATTCTACGTAGGCACAGTTAGCAATGTCAAGGAGAAATAGGAGGAAAACGTGCTTTAAGTCCTACAACATCGGTCAATCCCTGGCCTTGTGCCCAATGCGCGTTAATGCTTGTATCATTGAGGAGTGAGACCATGAGCTCGACTTTTGGGTCGGAACAGTGAGGCAAGGCAAGGATTTGGTCAAATCCAGTCTCGAGAATTTGGGAACGGACACGCTCGTATCTGCCGCACATGTCAACAGTACTGTGGATAAATATGATGATAGTACGCACATAGCGTTTATTTGTTCCTCAGAGACGTGTTCCTAGAGATAGAATGTGAGGATGGCGCAGAACATAGACACGAGTACTAACTTCCAACTCCACACCTAACGCTCGCAGACCATGCAGCGTTTTGGTCAGTCCATCCTGCAAGAAATGAGATGAGTCATAATGTAAGAAAATAAAAACGTACGCGAAAGTCGTTTCTCTTCCAACAATTCCTCGCTTGTAACCTCGCAACCTCACCTACGTCTTCGGGGGAGACTGTTTGTTGTAATATCTCATTGAGTAATTGGTCAGAAGACCAGTTATCCCCAGTCCAGGTCATCAACCTACATCATCCTCATTCAGCGGAGATCGTCACAAGACGTTTTTACCTACTCTGCAGTCTTGAGCAGAAGTGAGAGGGTCGTTTCCCGATTATCCTCGTTCCACGCTTCCTCCAACAACAACTGCCGCGCACATTGACAATATTCGAGTGCCATTTCATGCGCCCCTTGGAGTGTCGCCTGACTACTGACGCGCAGGAAGACGTCAAAGAATGCGCTGCGCTTGGGATGGTCAGGGAGCATAGGTATGCTGCGCTTCGCAAAATCGGCCACGCGGAAATAGTCCGGATTCGCTTGTTGTAACAGCACCAGAGCGATCTTCGGGGAACGGTAAGATCATAGCACACAGTGCGGAAGTAAGGGGATACCTTGAGGTTCATGCTCATGACGACATCTACCGGCATCTGCTCAGTAAAAGCAACCGCCGCTTGGCGGAATCGATCATCTAAGAAGGCACAGTGAGAGGAAGCTCGAAGACAGTCAGACTACTCACGGCTAAAAGCACAGGTCTCCCTCCCACGATGAACGAGCCAACCTTCCGCAAGCGCCATTTGCAACCCCTGCATCGACCTCTGACTAGACTTGAGTTCATCCGAATCCGAATCATCAGCCCCGTTCGCCTCCTCCCAATCCATCATCATCGCCACATCGGTGATTTTGAATGCGGGGCCGAAAAAACAGCCCCAGACTACATAACGCTGCATGACTTCGGGGAACTCGCGCATTCGTGTGACGAGGAATTCGACGTCTCCCGGATCGGACTGGGAAAAATGCTCGGTGAGAAACTTATCTTGAATTTGGTCGATATTGTACTGCCAATGGTTTCCCTCCCAATCAAAATATATCTGCAAGTTTCATCAGGAGCGAATTTCGGGCGAAGAGGATTACGTACGTAATTTTGACGTCGTAATGCAGTCAACAGGTTCCGAGCAGCAAAAGGGTTCCCTCGACTAGTTCGTTGCACCAGTTTCGTGAGGTTAGTGCATGTGTCAGGGGGCACTCGCAGAGTCTGGGAAACGAAGGAGCTCATGGCGTCCGTTGTCAGAGGATGCAGCTCGATCCAAGTGGCACGAGTAGACTTGGTAAATACTTTCCTGATCCGTTCAAGCCGGATACTGGGGCAGAGTCAGAAGCATTGTGAGGTTAGCATGAGGTGCTCACTCAGATTCGGATCTTACTGTGCCAAAGACGATCATGCGTAGTTTCGCGGATATCAGTGCCGAGACAACCTCGAGGGTGGATTCGTTCGCATTGTGCAAGTCATCAAAGAACTGTAGGAAAGAGAAGATAAGTACGTGAGCTAACCGCGCAATTCGGATACCATGACGCACCAAAGCCAAGTGTCGGATTTCGGAACAAGCAGCAAACACGTCCACCATGAGGTCTATGAACCTCGCTCGGAGTTCGACAGTGCTCCCCGAGTGCACTTCTGCAAAGGAGGTAACATCGTGTAGAGCCAAGATGCCCTTCAATTCGGGGGCAGTGTTAAACAGAAGCTGTACGTTCCTAAAGTTCGCACCGAGCCTGTTCCGGAGCTTCTCAACGAATTCAAAAGTCTCATCCGAGTAGACGCTGGATAATTGCTGCAGGACACTTGAGAGGCAGGAAAACACAGGGCCGTAGGGTGTGGAATCCGCGTGTGAGCACTTGCCTGAGCCCCAGAGCCCACCCTCCTGTCTCCAGAAGGGCATCGCCTCCATAACAAGGGAAGACTTTCCCATCCCTCCGGGGCCTTGGACAACAACAGCGAAGCTTCGCCCAGGAGGCTTCATCTTGCGCCGGAAGAGCTTGGGGATCCGTCGTAGGTTTTCGCCTGTTAGGCTGCTTGCGCCAGTCCCTGTCCCACTCGTCCCCGCTGAAGTTCGCTCCTCGCGTACAAGCTTGTCCAGGGCGTCGGAGGAGATGGCCGAGCCGACAGCGTGTTCCTGCGGTGTGAGCGTGCGCTTCATGTCCCCAGCGCTGGCACTATTGTGCCTGTTGAAACCCCCTCCGGGGGGGACACTGTGCGTGCTTTCACTCTTCCCAGAATGGGAGCGCGAGTCACCCCCTTCCTCATCTTCGATTCCATTCCCTGCCATAGCAGCAATGAGCGTGCTGGGCGCTGCGGAGAGGGCGAGAGAATGTCTCGATCCAGAGAAGTGCGAGCCACCGCCACTTGCAGCAGCATGTATGACAGCATGTATGACCTCGACCTCCTTTTCTCTGCCGAAGAGAGCGTGCGGCATCGTGAACTCGAGGTATTTATCTTGTCTCCCAAGCTCAAACTTAGGAATGAGCTCGGCGGAAAGACTCTGACTCGTGGTGCTAGCGATGTTCAGCCATTTCTGGCATTGGAGGAAGTCGTGTTTGAGCCCAATAGCACTCGAGTATCTGTCCTCTGGGTCCTTAGAAAGAAGTTTGTCGATCATATCTGAGATGACCTTCGGTACGTCTCTCCGCACTTCGTGAATTCTGAGCGGACGTTGTTGACGTACGATGCTGACAAACTCGCGCACACCCCCCTCGAAGGGAAGGATGCCCTGCCCGCTGAGCAAAATCCATAGCACCACACCAAGGGCGTAGAGATCTGTCCGATGGTCTTCCCGGTCGACGATCGTCGCACTGTTGTTGATCTGCTCGGGGGGCATGTAGCTCATCGCCTCCTTCGCCTTGGCCCAATCGCGATCCTCTGACTGGAGAACCAGGCCGGATGGTCCACCGAGCGATTCGAGCGATGCAGAGCGGTTTCCGAAGTGAGCGAGTCGGACCCGACCAGAGGAGGAATAGTGGAATGCGTTGATCCGAACTTCGCGGTGGATCAATCCGCGGCTATGGACGGCTTCGAGGCACTGGGTTGCTTGCACTGCGAACCTGCGTACGGATGTTAGCCAATGTGTCCGTTATTTATCAGAAAGAAAGGGATACGAGCGAAAGAGGGGATAGAAACGAAGGAGGGCATGATGACATCGAAGGGGACAATGACCAAATATAGACGGGATGAAGAAATAAATAAGGCTGAGAGCGGGATCGACAAGAAGGAAGGGAATGGATGAAGGAGTGGATAAAGATGAAAGATGCGATGGAGGTGAGAGATGACGTACTCGAGGAAGGTGACGAGCTCCATGGGCATCGTATGCGCCTGCTCGTCCCATACCCCTTCTTCATTCTCCTCCCCTTGTCTTCTTTGAGGGAAGAGCACAGCGTTCAGTTTCGACGGTGGTATGTACTGAGAGAGGATATTTTCCCCCGGATGGGAAAGGAGGAGCACGGTCATGTCGCCGTTGAGGCGGGGAACGACGAAATAGTCTAGGACACGAAGGAGTTTGCCAACAGCCTCCGGGTCCTGGGAAAGCATCTTCAATCTGGATGGTCGTGAGTATTCTTGCAGCTGGAAGATGAAAAGTAGGACGCACATATTAAACTCCCTATCGAGCGCTAGTGCCCCAGCTGTATGAGCCATAGCCATCTTGGCGAAGACGTTGCTGCCATCCTTGAGGTTGACACCCTGCGTAAGAAGGGTGGTGCTACCGACGTCTTCCCACCTATACGCTTTACTAAACTGATACCCGGGAATACTGAGTACCTCGTCTCGAAAAAAGGTGTTGGCAGTGTATCGCGTGCGTATTCTTCGACCTCCCGAAGGAGTACCAGACAGTTCCCGGTCTGATGAGGAGCGTACCGAGACGTCTGGAGGGTCTGTGTTGGAGGAAGGCGTCCAACGAGATGAGGACGCAGAAGAAGAAACGGCATCTGCGGATGGTGTTGGGTGGGAATGGGAGATGGAAGGGAGCATGACCGTGTAAACAAAGGTATATGCAGGATGTATTCACTGAAATAAGGCTCCGTTTGTTTTTTAGGTGTTTGTTGTTGGGCGTTGTACTGGAATGGGACTTGATCGGGCAAGCTTGTCCTCGAGGATCGGTGCTGTCCTCAATATCCAGTGCCAGAGGCTCGTCGTCTCTTCTGTGATGGTACGATGACGCAAGTATGATGTCGCCGCTTCTCCTGCAGGGCGTGATACGAAGCAGACTGTAATAATCGTCGCCAGCAGTGAAAGAGCAAAGGCAAACGACCAGAGAGAAAAAGCGAAAATGAGTTGGGTTCCCTGTGGATCCCAGGGCTCGGTATTCGGTGCCCGTCAGTGGTGGGTGCGTTCCAAGAAGGCGGATAGACGTCGCTGGCCGATCACGATCGCGAACGAGGGACTTTGATCTTTCCCGTCTTTGGTAATCTGCCTGCCACACTCGTTTAATATAAAAATGTATTTGATTATACTAGTGGCACTCTATCATTGCTATCAATATACTGCGCTGCTCCCGCTGTCCGTTACTATTCTATCCATCCCATAACAATAACAATATCATTACCAACCACTTGCCAACCCCGGGGTTCCATCCCTTCCAGCCATCTCGGCATCCTCCGCGGTCTCCAGTCTCCGAACCCCGCGCATGTGCCCAGGCCCCTTTCCAGGGTCAAGACGTCATCTGCCTCCGTTTAAATCAGAGATGGATATCCGATCCCGCTTATAGTCGGAGCCGCACCTATGTTGACCACTAGGGTCCACACTTTTGCCAGGGGGGCAACCCTCGCCCCCACCACAAACTCACGGCTATTTTCCACAGGGGCCAGTCCAGCCGTGTCCAGTAGGTTGTACCAAATGTAGAAAAGCAGGATCTAGGGTCCTATCACAAGACATGTGACCTACCTGGTTCATGCCTCTGGGTGCACAGTTGTACATACTAGGTCATCTTCAATGCCATTGACTCATACCAATAAGCAGCCTACAGCTAATGGAACTGCTCCTTGCTCTACTTCTAGAACTGTTAGGCTGGCTGAATTTGAAGATGCAACTAGCTGCCACCAATGGCTTCAAGAAACTGCCACTACTAGGGGCAAGAGGAGAATGCCAGTCCTACTAGAGCCTACCACCTTGTTCTACAAGGACATCTGAACATACAAGGGCAACTTGGAAGCCAAGTCTTCTCCTTTGTCCCCGTCTTCCACAATGTCTCCACCTATCTCCTGGTTCTTGCTTTCCTCCTCTTCTTCTTCTGCTTCCTCATTTGAACATTCAAATTCTGCTTTGTGGTCCAGTTTGTTCACTTCAAAGTCCGCATTTTCGAGGTTTCAGAGGACCATCTCCACTGCACTCAACATGTCTTTTCAGGCCAGGTAGGGTATAACCCTGAACTTGGCAATTGTATGCCCGAATATCAAACTGTTGAGTTCAGCCACTATATAAGCGCCTCCAGATCTCTGCTTGACAACAATATATGGTCCCATATATTGATTCTTCATCTTATCATGGAGGGGGCCATCCTGCCTGCTGTTCCTTATGAAGACTAAGTTGCCCATTTCAAAATTGTGATTGTACATCAGGTTCTTGAATCATTCTCAAAACCTTTCTGCATTCACGTATTGAGCTTTCAAAATCCTCCTTTTGATTTCCGCTAAGTCCTCTGGTCTCTTTAGGAGTTGTCAAGTGTGGAATGCCACTAGGTCTGCATGTGACAGGAGTTGATCTGGGGGCAGAGCTAGCCAGATTGCCTCTATAATGTCCATTGGCAGAAGGGGGTGAATTCCATGAGCCATGTAGAAAGGACTCATTCCTGTAGCACTGTGAATTGATATTCATTGTGCCCAGAATACAGCCGGAACCACTTTGGGCCATTTTGACTTGTCTTTGGACATCAAATGGATAATTGATTCTTGAACCGTTTGATGACTCTGTTTGACTATTCTGTTTGCCCTCAAATTGTAGCTCGAAATGCGAATGTGGTTCAAGTGGTACTTTTCCTTGAGGGAATTCATAGCACTGATCCAAGGAGAACCATTATCCATGATGATTTTGCTGATAGCACCCCAACAACAGAGGATGTTCTTATGAATGAAGTCTTCAATGACCTTGGCTGTTTCTTTCTGGCAGATCATGTACTCCAGCCAATGTGTAAGCAAACACTGAGCTTGCAGAATGTACCTCATTCCTCGATATCAACCTTTCAAGGGTGGCATGAACATTGTGTCACAGTGAGCTCAAAAGAATAGCAGTTGTGGAGTCTGTACCATGGGCAGAATAACCATGTGTTTCATCTGTTGTTGTTGGCACTTGTTGCATGTCCTTAGGTACCATTTTGTATCATCCATCAAGTTCGGCCAGAAGAAATGAAGTTGAATATGGTTGTATACCATTTGAAAGCCCCTGTGTCCGATCTCGTCATGCATGTTCTGAAGGACATTGATCCTCTTTTCAAATTTGATATAGAGCTGATGTTCTCTGTTTTTGTCCCATTTGTATAAGTTGTCCTGGCCTTCAAGGAAGTAATGCAACATCTTTTCTAGAAACAACTTCCATTGCATGTCCGTTAGACTTTGAGGTCTTCAAAAGTTCCTTAGGTATTGTCAAATTGCTAGGATCTTGTCATCTACTTCCTTTGTCTTTTCGAGTCTAGGTAGCACCTCTTCTGGGGGGTTCAAAAATTTTGGAACAGGGCTTCGAAGGGACTGTTCCAATACAAACATGTAAGACAAGCCAAGGGTGTCGTCATCTTCAAATTCAGGGAAGCAGTCATTGATATTGGATTGGCAGGCCACAGGTTGTCTCAAAAGGCCATCTGGCACTGTGTGTTGTTCTGCCAGGACATGGTGGAGTTCAAAATTGAAAAGATGGATCCAATGGATCCACCAGTTCAGAATGATGCTTGGCTGTATGTCTGGGTGGTTCAGCATTCCTTGGATGTATTTTGCATCGACCTTGACATTGAAATTTGGAATGCCTATGAGCCAGATTTGAAAAGCTTTCAACACTTGGTAGAGGCCATACAGCTCGAGCTTTGGTTGCAAGTACTTGCTTTTGACTTTGTTCCAGTTGATCAATCCAAAACATGCTGGCTGGCACTTTCCTTTTTTGTCATTCTGATACAAAATGAAACCAGTACTGATGTTTGGAAAGTCAACTGCCAAGGTAATACACTGGTTGCTCTTGTAGTTGATGGGCTTGAGGACATTGTTCATTTCTGCTGCAATTGCCAATTCCTGTAGAACTTGAATGGCCTCATATTGTTCCAGTCCGAATTCAAATGGCACACCTTTGCATTTCAGATGTTTCAGTGGGCGTGCTTTCCAAGCAAATCCTTCAATGAAAATTCGAAGGATGCCTACCGTGCTGAGGAATGCCCTGACTTCTGAGAGGTTTTCACACAGCAGCTTCCATTTGGTGATTTTTGAAACTTTCGACAGGTCCAGAGCATGGCCTTCATAGCAACACCTGTAGCTGAGGAGGATTATTTCCAGGATGCACAGTTGTACTCTTGGTCCAGAGAAGGTTCCTCCTGCATGTTTGGCTCATTGGATGATTCAGTGCATGTTTCCAAGGTGTTTGAAAATGAAGCATCAAATGCTGCAGTTGCCTGGGATCATTTCGAACTCTCCATTGGCTTTTTTGTACCAAGTCTTGGGGCCTTTTACTCTGATATCATTGATGAATGGGGTGGTCAGGTGGGGAATCTCATCCTGGAAAATGAAGTTGACATTGTCCTGCATGATGCCCGGCATGTTGTGGGCTCCCATGGGTGCAACAGTATACTGGAGTGGGCTGATGGGAGACTGAAACAAAGTGTAGTCCCTTGAACTAAAAGCAACTGGGTGCTGTTCAAATCCTCAAAAGAAGTCTAGAAGTCCGTAACATCCTCTCAATCTGAAGTCTTCCAGGATGTGTTCTGTCAACAGGGGAACTGTGCTGCTTTGTATCATGACTTGGTTCAAAGGCCAAGCATCAATGATGGGCCTTAGTTCTCCATTTTTCTTTTGAATGACAAACCAGCGAGATCAATATGCAGACTGAGAGTGTTTGAAGGTGCCTGCAGCTACCTTGGTGCAGAGGACTTTAATCACATCTTCCATAAGGGCAGGCAGCACTGGAATATTCCATTCCTGCCACAGAACATGTTTGACTGTCAGAAAGATAACCAGATCAAAATAGTCAGCTTGAAATTGTCCAATTTCTGACTTGGCCCACAAAAATGCATATTTGTGCATCTTCAGCACCCAGGCTGTGAGCTTCTCCTCTTTGGGAAGAAGGAATTTCGACTTGTTGATTTTGAGTGCTTTGAAACACTCTTTCATAAGCCAAGCACCTGGAATGAAATTGGGTGGTCAGACTGGTAATGGTTCTAACTGGTCTAATGGATCGGACAGGAAATGACAGTATATCTTCAGTTCTTTGGGGTGTGCAGCAGGCACTGGCTTGATACATCAGCCACTTTCTTATATTTTCGAACAGCAAGAGCTTGGGTTGGGGGGTATGCACAAGTGAGGAGTTTGTGGAAATACAGGTTGTACTGGTATTGTGGCAATACAGGTTGTACTGGTATTGCTGTTTTAGATTTCCAAATCAATGTAACATATGGCTGGGATGTCAGGTATCACTTCAACCTTTGAGTCTCAAAGTTGCCATGCTGGCTCTCTCAGATTCAGAGTCGTCATGATAAGTCTACTGTAAGGGGAGTCTCTCCAAGAGTAACTCAGTTCCTTGACTCTTGAAAATCCTCAGATGTGTGCAGGTTCACCAAACTGGTTGTGACAACAGCAGTCTTCGACATAGTAGGACAGGTGAAGGTAATCTCCTGGTACCCATCTTTGAAATCTTGAGTCGAACACCTGAACAGGGTTAGGAACAGCCTTATGAGGAGCAGTCTGACTGGTAACATAGTGGCCACATGCACCTGGAACAGTCCAGAGATGTTTCCAACCATTATCCGAAGGTTTCAAACACATCCCAACGTACTGCTGATGCTTCCATTTGCTGATCTCATCTGCACCTTTTCCGTAGGAGTGTAAACTGAGCCCATGTGACGCCAGACCATGTGGTGCATAACAATGAGCAAGCATCCCAAATTGAGGCAGCCGAGAGTTCAAAACCCAGTGTCTCCAAGTTCGACAGACACGTCTCTCAGTCCAATGACCTCCAGAGCCATGATAATACCTCTTGGAAATGCTGGCCTTTTGTGCTCCTCCATATGCATTACTGGCTCTGCACTTGCCAGAATTTCCTTGATAGTAGCCATTGTGTTCCATATGGGTGCTGTTTGAGGTACTTTCCGAGACTGCATCTGCTGGAACAGATGTTTCTGGATCTGAGGGGACATAGCCATTGCTTTTTCAAGAGACACTGTGACCTGGCTTTTCATTATGTTCAAAATAGCCATTTCGACCATCATATCATTTTCCGCAGGGGCTCAGAACTATTTGAGGGTGGATGTCCTTGTCCATGTCCTTTTCAACTGCCTAGGGAAGGTCCTTCGAATGGGATGGCACTTCTTCCTGTGTCATGTCCTGCTCCAGTTCCTGTAACTCCATTTTGACCATGCACCCTTTGCCCTTCAGAACGTAAGGTTCAGTTCGGTACGTTTCCTGTTTCCAAGTTGCCTCTTCGAGCCTGGTTTTGAGGGATGTAATGATCAACTGTAGTTCTGCTTCCCGTGCCGCTGATGCTGAGTCCACCATGTTCACTTCCGGACCTCGCAATGGTTTTGAAAAGCTAAGAAAATCATTGGCTCCTGTGAATGCCTGGATGATGTGAACTGGGGCTGGTCGAGTAGCCACAGCTGGGGCCTCTTTCATGGCAGCTGGCGCATTTCTGGCATACCATGTGCAAATATGGTCTCTCAGTGCCCCAGGAGGCCATGAAGGAATCGGCACTCCTTCTGGAAGTGTTATCTTGTTCTGGGAGTTCCAAATAACATAACTGGTTCAAAGGCTCTCCTTGAGAGGAGAACACTCCCTCAAGAAGTGATTCAGTGCTCTGCACCATAGGCATCCATTCTGACTGTTCCCATCATTGTTCAAAGCTCGATTTCCACCTGGCTGTTGGTTTGAACTCTGGTACCAGTCATTTGAATGGTTTGTATTATAAGTTGCTCTGGTAGCCATCATTTCAAACTTTTCCTCGAGCCGGGTAAGTACCTCTAGCATGTATTCCTGCACATTCAGGTTCACTTCCACCTTGATGTTCAGAATTGAATTCTCGATTTGAGCTAGAGCCACTTCCATTTCTCATTTGACCAAGACGGCTGCTGTTCCGGAACTGAGAGAAATAATCTCTCCACTTGCCAGGGTGTTCGCCAGTAGGAGCGCAGCCATCTTAACTGCATTGTCCAAGGGCCAAGGATTGTCAAGCACTGAATTGGGGTATTTTGAGAGGAGCCTCAAAGGTTTTCCTGAAATTTGTAGTGGAATCCTTGCATGAACATCTGTTGTTGCTTGGTCTTCAAAAGGTATTCCTTCCAGACCAGCCACTGGGATACTCTCAAAGACTGCCGTTGGTATTCTCCAAACTGAGCCCTGCTGTCCATGGGAATGGCCGCACTCTTTGAAACAAGTTTTTCCAGGTCAAGCCTCAAATATAGCCAGCTCAAATCTGTAGCTCCTGGGTAGAAAGCTAGAATCTGCTTTCAGAACTTGTCATACTTCGGACTTGCTGCATGACTTTCTTCTGCCATGTCCAATACCTGAAAGACTTCCACATTGACATTTTTGAGGCAATATTTTACCCATTGCTCCAGCAGAACCTTGCAACTTTTGCACAGTTGTTGCACATTGTCGAGAAATCTGATGACATGTTCCAGTCGAGCTGAGAGCAGCATTGGAGCATGCTTGCTCATTCAAAGTGGCATCACTGGATCCAGCATGGTGATTGTCAGGTTTTCAAGCACATGTTTGATATCTGAGGGTAGGCTTGTCAGTTTGACTTCTTCTGAGATCAATTCCATAGTTGTAGATGGCGTCTGCCTCAGGCCAATGGATGAGTTGGATAAGCTTTCTGATGGAGGCGGATTTCTTAGAACAGGCAGGGGTAGACTCTGAGGGCCAAGGTTTTGGTTTCTGGTTTCGGAACTGCACCCTGCTTTGGGTGGTCAGTTTGATGGTTGCTTAGGTGGACCACTCAATCTGCAACTGAATGCCCCAAGTTTTCTCCCCAACCAGATTTTTTTTTTTTGAAAAATCCTATGTCAGTCACCAAATGTACTCTACACCTCCCAATGAGGCATCAGGAGAAGGTCCGCTGGAGGGGGACTCGACAGTGGTGGCCCATACATTGTAGTAGGTAGTAATAGACAAAATCTAACCTAATCAAATTGTGGCCTCCTAAGGTAGAGCCACTCAAATGCCAATCCAAAGAGTCTTGTATAAGTTCCAAGACCTGTTGCAGCATTCTGAAGGGAGTCCAAATGAGGAATGGACAGGGAACAAGCCGTGTGAGGTGAATGAGGGTGGCTTCCGAAGGTCAAGCAGTCAAATCGAGGCTCAGATCAGTCTAAGAGGGAGCTTGAGCAAGGAGTGACTTTAAAGTAAAGCAGTAGTATCAGTTGTAAGTTAAGAAATCACCTGTCTTGAATGAGTGAGGTCTGGTGTAAGTGAGAGAGGAGTCCAAGCATCCCTATCTGAAGTATCCAAATCTGCCTATATATGTTTGGAGTGGTTTGGACCTTTGGACTACTACTAATCTATATCTAATCTACATTACCTAATGCTATGTCTAAGGGTCCACTTGCTTCCAATAGTCCAGTCCAGTTGAGTTTGAGGTGTTGTTCAAAGAGGCTTTCGAGGATCAGATTTGAGCTCAAAACTCAAATGTGCAGCACAGAGATGATTCTGCATGTTGAACTCCTAGTACAAAGGAGCTTGGGGCAAGACATGCCGAATTGGTGTCTGCTCAACTCCTGTACTGCTTGTGAATACTGCATAAGTGCATCTACATAGTAGAGGCGCCCTCATGTTGGTGACTCATTTCCTAGGCAGCTAGAAGGAGAAGAAGTCTTGATGCACTCCAAGCTCATTGCTGCAGATGGCAACAGTTCATCCAAGAGGTTTCTAGGTGTGGGCTATCATGACAAGCATGAATTTCAAAGTGACTACATCCTTGATTCCGAGGAGGTTGATCAGTATCAATGTGCACCTAGTGGCCCAGGAAGGCAGGGCAAGACATTGGACACATCAACCAAGGAAGAACAAGGCAAGACTTCTACAAATACACCTCAAGGCGATGAGACAAAGGTGTGCACATCTAGGTGGAAGGCATGGAAGACCAAGGAACATACAAGCAAGTGGACCAAGGCACTAGATGTGATGGGCAACTTTGTCGCAACATGTCAGCATGGAATGGTGCTCTACTCAGCTGACCTAATCCAAAGCGGAGAGTTGTATGTATCCAACCTAGCTGTAGGAGGACTAAACTTGCTCATGCTATGTCCTAGGTCCAAGTATCCCGTGGCCTGCTTGGCAAAGCTTATGGAGGTCTATGGGGAAGGGCTTGCTATTGGTTACAACATCAGTTGCAAGCATTTGAAGATGGTTGCTTGTAGTGCTCTTGGTGCTTGAGCCAAAGAGCTATGTGTCCATTACCTCATTGAAGCTTTTCATGGTTATGCCCACAACCAGCATTGTCAGCTAGGCTTCCACCCATGGTTTCTAGGGACAGCTGGTCTAGAAGATTTTAAGACTAATGAGTGCTTGTTCTCAAGGCAGAACCTTACTGCACATCTATTCCCCTATGCATCAGCATACCACCAACACCTAACTCTACACCTCTTTTGAAGGCAGTGGGACGAGGATAGGGCATTGCAACTAGGTGTGTAGTACTGTTGCAGTTTATTATGTCCACTGACAATATCTGTAGCCAAGTTCATCTACAACAACTATTGCCAGGTGCAAGAGATCCTAGAGACAATGGAACCCATGGTGCTTTGGTTCCAACAAGCTCAAGGACTTACCGATGAGGACTTTCAACAGTTCCTAGAAGAGGAGAAGGCCTACTTCAACAACCTTCAAGCCAAACCAGAGAGTAATGAAACTGCATTCCTTTACCTAGAGTCATTGCAGCAACTCAACAAGGCCCAGTGTGTCTACACTGTCTTCTTGTCAGATGTACTCTGACCCATCTCTAGGGAACTACTTCATAACTCTGGCTTTGACAGGTTTATCCATATGTCCCAAGAGTCTTGGAGCTCGCTCCCCCATCAAGATCAAGCTAGAGCTCTAGCACACAACTACACAGCTCTAGTGAATCTAGTCAAATGACATGAGTCAACAGCTTGTGCATATGAGAAGTGCCTCAGTATTGAATTATGGACACCCAACAGTCAAGAATGGAAAACAACGGAGCAAAGCATATACTACAGAGAGTACAACAAGGCACTAGACAGCCTCAAATCCCTTGTTGTACAGCACCTGTTTGAGCTGGAGAAACTCAATCTCTGTGGAACTGGTAAGCAGTGCAATATGATTGACACAAGCCGGAGTTCCTCACTACTTTCCAGGGTACAAGATGTGCAAGGCTCTAGGTGAAGCACTCCAGAAGAGGAGTGAGGGTATATGATCTGCATTGACTAGATACAACACATTTGCTGCCAAGGTCAATTGCCCTCTTCTCACTTTCAAGGATGTGTTGGCCTATATGTGGCTGTCTGACTTCTCCCTTCTACGCTACTCTCGGACTGACATTAGAGGGGCTATGTGGGCTGATCTGGAAGTGTGTCTGGTCATTGTACAGTGGCTCCTCGTGTGGTGCACAAAAGAAGAGATCTGCCATCTAGATGTTGAGGCTTGCCATGTCTGGACAGCACTACACCTAGAGGGTAGTGCAATGGAAGCTAGAGCTCAGTCAACCAAGGTGGATGGTGACAAATTATTGGCTGCTGAGATGAAGACCTACATTGCTAAGCAAGCAAGCATCTCAGTCCCAATACAGTCTTGCCTTCTAGACATCTTTGCTCTAGCCAGAGTTGTTGGTCTGGTGCCTGTCAGTACTAGAGCATGACAAGTGCATGATATTCAACCACAGGTTGCTCCATCTACCAAGGTTCCAGAACTTGGTGTGAAGAATGAAGAGCCCCTGGATGCTAGAGACTTCTATGATCTAGAACTTGATGGTGTAGATGATGAGAGTCAGGCTGAAATAGAACAGATGGCAGAGGCACTTGAACAGATCAATTTGTAGGTTAGGATAGGTATCATAGTACAGAGACTGTAACCTAGTTTGGTAATGCCATGGATAGTATGTTGAGCAATGCAATGCTCATGACTTGTTTCTAAGCCAATTTATTTGTGGTACTATGTTCTACATCCTACTGATAGTTGTAGAGCAAGATGCCTTCTGGTAGATGTCAACCCAACCATAGCAGCAATCTACAGCAATTTATTTACAAGTCAATATTACATGTAAATTCAAAATTCATTGCACAAATTAATACTTAATATGGAAGCTAAAATGTACTTAAAGTAAAAGACAATTTATTCATTAGATGAGTGCAATTGCAATCCTACATTCTAATTGTTGTCGTTCTCAGTGCACAATACTTCTCCCTAGTTGTCTCATCACCCCATTTCTCTACAGTGTCACACTAGGTTCTCTATTCCTCATGCCTCGTTCCCTAAAATTCATGGTCTAGAATCAACAAGAGTCTGCTAGAAGGTACTCTCGTTGGAAATGGGGTTGGCACAATAGTCATCTAGAAATTGAGGGTACATTGTTGTGCTTCTTGCTCAACATTTTGGTTCTGCTCTGCCTAGCTTATACTAGATGCACAAATGATGTCCCTCTCCTCCTGTCCACCACCATCTCCAACCCCCCTGTTGGAAGGACCTCATCCTCTACTCCTTGACATTGACATTCTACTATCTAGAACAACTAGGCAACTACAAGCACAGAAACAAGCAAGCTCTTCCTAATAGCTACTATGGATGGATCTTGACAACAACATCCAACCGGTCAACCTTGACCTCCTGCCTCCTAGTCTGCATACAGGTGAGTATGTGATCCATCCACCGCATATATGTACTGACTAGAGGGTAGGCTTATCATCTGGTGGTGGCTCGACTCAGAATGATCAGTCTGGCACTCCTTGTTACTGTCTCCCCTTGCCCTTGCCCTCTACAGCTCTCATTCCTAGTGGAAGGTCTCTTGCATCAATGGGAGGTACCTCAGGTTTTTATTCTGGTGAGTCCTTAGACCTATGCACCTACAGTATATATGCTAATACTACATCTAGGTCAACATGTCTCTGGCTTCCAATCTGCTGCCTCCCTTCCCCATGCCAACATCAACATGCCCATTGCTCTCCTCATCAACTTCCACATGCTCATGCACAAGGTTGCTGCTGGGGTCCAGCTCCCTACCGCCAAGATTGGTAGACCCCAACCTATGATGCAGCCACAGATGGACCACAAGGTCTGTGGGCAGGTAATGGCAGTAAACAAGATGCATTAGTCCGGACTGAAAAGTTTGCACTATCTGTCTGGTCCCTAGCTTATGTAAGCAGGTACTGTACAGTACCTGTAGGTGTGCATCAATATGTGCACCTCTCTACTATATGCCAACAAGGTCTGGAAGGACAAGAGAGCTAGAGTTGCCAAGGTCTCTAGGATGATTGATGGCTCTACTTTTGACAGCAATGACTTGGTAAGTGCTGATATGCACATCTTTTGTGATCCATTGAATGGCTGCCTTCAATGTATTGCTTGGTATGAGGAACTACAACCTCAAATCTTCAACATTGTATGTTTTCTAGTCCCTGCCATGCTAGATTTCCTACTTACCTTCTTCTCTAGCTTACTATGTCTGATTGCGTTCTTGGTGCCCTCCTCAACATGTGTATGTTTGCTAGGTATGACAGTGCTATGACTACTGTCAAGACCTTCATCTCTAGGGTTCTGTGGAACATGGGCTATATGCCCCTCATCAAAGGCATTTTCAAGCTGTATTGCAACTGTGTCATCATTCCCTACAATCAACATTATACAAACTTCTGAGATGCTAGGCACACTGAGGGGTCCAACCCTAGGAGTAGGTCCAACCACCCTGACCTGCGTCCCTTCAACCCCTACAACTACTTCCTGACACATATGATTGAGCTGCCGACCCCTCTGGCCCCAGCCCCTACTCAACATGCCCCCTCTTCTACCCCAGCAGGGAAGGGCAAGGGATGTGGTATGCACTTGGTTGCTTCTATGCCTAGGACCCCATCAATGATGCAGCTTTTCCCTCCTTCCTACACACTGATGCGTTTGGGTGGGGACAACTCCCTGGCACAGCTCTCCCTTGCCTCTAGGCTCTTGGCCAACCATGCTGGAACATTGTATTCGAGGCCCAATGACATTATGGAACTGCCTGTCCTCCCATGTCTACTCTCTGAGCTCCTTGGCACCTACCAAGATGCCCTCCAGATTGCCCCCTCTACATGTCTAGGATCGAGACCAAGGCTGCAGCCATCTACCATTGGGACATGCCTAGGACTTGGCTCAAGAGGATGGACCATGTCATCTGGGACTCCTTTGAGGAAGAGCTCACGTCCGATGAGGCTCACCAAAACTACAGCCCACACCTACATGTGCTGCTCAAGGACATTGTGAACCTGATGAAGTCAGAGCACCTGAATGACTACTATGAGGGCAGGGCCTAGGGATGTCAAGGAAGAAGTGCATGGTAAGGTAGGTCTCTCCTTTCTTCTTCTACTTCCTTCCAACTCGATGCCTTTGGCATCGTATGCCACTCTCTACATCCATGCCCTAGGTGCCCACCTCCATTCTTTTGTGTAGGGCTTGAACTGTTAATATTGTCTAGGCTTTGTGACACAAAGCCTAGGTATGTAAAACATAGAAGACTGTCAATAAATGCCTTCTGAATGGGTGCTTAAGTAAACACACATGCATCATGTGCATGTATCCACATGTCACGTATATGCGTACTAAGTTCACCATTCTAAGTCTACTCTGTACCACTCCAGCAATGCCACGCTCTACCGCCCTAGTGACCTCCTGGGCTCATCACTCTAGAACTACACTCAAGAACCGTGCTCACCACGGGGAAGTGCATATTGCAGTCGAGGAGATTAGGACAAAGGTCAAGGTCAACCTGATGGCACTTGCTGCCCAGCATGCTATGGATGCTGACACCATGCTAGGGTTTTTCTACAGTCAATGGCTGAAGCGTTGAAATGATGCCGTTTCAGTGTACAATGCAGCTTGTCATGAGCTAGTGGCAGAGTGGAAGCACCTAGGTCCGCCTACCTTGGATTTATGTCTTATTCCGAGACCTTACTCTTACTGCTAGGGAAAAGCTTTTGGGCTGTAGGCAACTCAGCTTTCCAAGAAGCCATAGTGGCAAGGATGAAGGTTCTAGAGACTGACCCTGTCCTCTGTGCAAGCACAAAGAAAGCTGTCATAGTGCAATGGGAAAGTTGTGTCCAGCAAGTTTGCTGGCCTGGCCATGCTAGGCTCTTGGATGCAAAGCACATGCAGGAGACTCTGTGATCAACTGCCCAAGACTTCAACACTCATACTGGCAGGCATATCTTTGGCCTAGTCATTTGAGGCCATGTCAATGACTACACTGTCCTGATGTTTTTCGGCAGCATGCTCTGCAAAGAGTGGTTTGAGATGGCTCTAGGTATGCCTATGCCCATTCTGAGCCTAGAGCTGGAGTCTTGGGTTCTAGGAGGAGGGGCGAGGTGTACATCAGACTGATTTTGGTGAAGCATTGTTTGTACTCATGTTGCTCAGTGCAGAGATGGCAGCAAGTACAAAATCTAGGGTCAACACTCTGAAGCATGAGATCCGCTCAATGCTAGATGACAAGATTCATATGTGCTCTACATGGTCTTGAATATGTATATGGCTCACTTCCAAGCTTCTAGGACATATCACTAAGGGCACCAGGACAACTATGGCATATAAGGGTTTTGGTTGAGATATCAAGGATGCTTTCCACATCACTCTACATGGTTGGCCCCTAGAGGCTATCATCAACCCTTCTGACATGTCCAGTATTGGAGAATTGGCTCAAGTGTATGATGCACTCAAAGAAGGTTGTTGTTTCTTTTGCCAACTGTCAGAGCGTGAGCTCAAAAATTGAAGAGTTCTATGCCAAGAAGGAGATTCTTGCAGTAGGATCAATGCAGATGTTGAGCATACGGTGGAGAATAGGATGGTGGTTGCCTCTGCTCCGCAGGCAGCTGGATCAACCTCTACGGTGACAGTGGATCTCTCTGGACAATAACCCAATACTGACCTGTCCAGGCCACTAAAATGACAGGCAAGAAGCCAAGTGATAGGTGGGTGGAAATGACCCTGTTGAGAGATATGCACCAAGAGTAGTGGCAGAGAGGTCTTATCACTGGCCCCTACAGAGGAGAACATAGTTAATGTGGTTCAAGACTTTGAAGTGACTAGGCCTCCTATTGTTGACATTGTACATGATGGGTGGGATTTGGTAGGAAATAGTATGGGTGCAGATGGTGACCCAAGAATGCTATTTAACTCATGGACAATGTTGTAGTCCTAGCATCTACAATGAACAGGTATTGATATCTAGGGATCAATCTCTAGGGCTTGGTCAACAAGATCAATAGAGCATATGCCCCTTCCTCCATAGCTCAAAGAGCAGCTTGGTCTGCCTTGTACTTCTTCAAGCAGGCAAGCAATTCCTCCTGGCATGTCTTCATTGTAGCATGCTTGACTGCATCATATTCACATTGATACTCTTGGAGGGTGGCTTGGTGTCTAGAGCTAGTCAGTAATGTTATCGCTAGGAGGCGATGGATGCACTTCTTGGCCCACATTCTCTTGGCCTGTAGCTCAATGTTGTACAGAGGACTAGGGTGGTATGTGCATGGGCACGGCATGATATAATAAATATCCAAGATGACAATATTGTGGTAGGGGATGCTGGTGGTTGCCATGGGAGAGGGGCTGGAAAGCATGGCCACCAGGCCACATTCTAAGTGGTCATACCCTAATAGGGAACCTAGACCCTGGATTTCACTGGATTGTCCAGCTAGAAAAGTCTACGTGAGTTTGTGGTGGGGGCAAGGGTCACCCCCCTGGCAAAGTGTGGACCCTAGTGGTTGACATAGGTGTGGAGCTGCAGGTGAGATAAAAAGAAGAAAGAGGAAGATGTTGGTGCATGACAACAGCATCCCAAATACCTGGACTGGATGGCCAGACCATGGAAAAAGCTATCTACGTCCTTTATTGGAAAGGAGAGTGTTTCAATGGATGACATCCCGTAGGATCTGCATGCCCGACATAGATATGCAGAATGTGGCATTTGCTCATGCCAGGCCTCTGGATGCACATTTTCGGACTCTGACCCTCATGCAGATGTGGCCAGGGTTCACACAGATTTGTTGTCTGCATGAGGGGGTCCCCTCTCACAGAATTTTTTGTGCACGGAGACCCTCACAGATGCATTCTGCTTGTGTTCCCCAGGCTGCACCACATGCCCTACATTACAATCTCCTTCAAGGCTGCGTGTCTCCTCTTCTCAATAATGATCATGGAGCTGATGCAGGAGGATGTCTATGGCTCACCCTCTCCTTCTTATGTCCCCTCGACCTATCTGGATCTCTCTTCCACCATCCTGCCCTCCTCTCAACTGTCTCAATTCCCTCCATGTGCAGCCTCATCTTTCTCCAACTATCAAGCCTCCTCCATGAACAATGTATCAAACTGTGTTCTTGGCCTGCACCTCAATGATTCCCTGTCTTGCATGCCTCTTGCATGCCTCCTCAGCCTGCACAGCCTGTGCTGCCCACCAAATGTAAGGTGCAGCCAACCAACAAAGAAGTACCAAGCCAGAAACGCATCAGCAAAGGCAAGACTCAGGGGTCAAAGGGGTACAGCAAGGCAGAGCTGTCCAAATTGCTCAATCTGGTGGAGGAGTGTCATCCCATCGGATCAGATGACTGGAGCAAGATCCTTGGGGGCATGCAGTGCTATTGGGCTGATAACATGATTGCAGTAAGGATGCTGGACAGTATCAAGTGCAGGTTTTTTGATGTACATCACTGCTCCTCAGGTTGTACATCCTTTAGACTGACCAACCACTAGCTTGTGCATGCTCCTAAACCCACAGGCAAGGGTGAAATGAGCGATGTGATCCAGCAAGCAAAAGTAGTCAACCTTCTGATTCAAAATGAAGTCAAGATGGGCAACTTGCAAGACAACAATGGGGTGGCTGACTCAGAGGGTATTGATTGGCCTACATCAGACCATGAAGAACATTCCCAGGCTGCGCAGCCTACTTATTCAATCCAGGTCACCAACACTCTGAGTACCACGAGCAAGGTGCTGATCAAGCAGTGCCCTCATGTCAAGGAATTGCCCAAGTCCCACAACTGATTGGACTATCCAGGACTTCTCTTGAATGTTTGAATGGCCTTTGATCCTCAGGCACAGGCTGAGCGCACCATCTTCCAGAGCAAGATCACCACTCTCCAAGCTCAGCTGCATGACAAGTAGCAGGAGCTTGTCGACATCTCCTGGGATAAGGACAATATCATCAAAGGGCTTTGTGCACAGCTCCTGGAGGATGTGTGTGCCCACCTCAGTGTCCAGCGTGAACTTGATATGACCAAGGCAAGGCTGGAGTACCAAGAGCAGGTGAGGACCATGATGATGGGTATGGGTAATATGGGTGCATGGGTTGTGCAGTCTATGAATGGCCCTCCCCATCCAGAGGCTGTGCAGCCTTGAGAATGCACATTGTGGGGGAGGCACAGCCTAGTTAGCTACACATTGTCTAGCACAACATAATGGAACTTAGCCACACAATCTGCCCTGAAAATATCTGGGGAACACATATCCTTCAAATCAGGTTGTACACTGTCTTCAGTTGGTTGATCCCAACCAGGTGCACCCTGATCTGATGTAGGCAGAATACAGTTTCCAGCAGCCTGCACCAGTCTCCAGAATCATTGGCTTTGAGCAGCAATTGAAGCTGGCCAAAAGAGCCTTGTATTGCTTGCATTCCCCATTCTGCTGATTGGCGAAATGAAATGAGCTGCTCAATGAATTGCAGGTGATCTCAAATCATACATGAACCACTTTTGAGTGGTGTCATAATCTTGTTCAGCAGACTGTGCTTGTTGTGAGGGAATGCAGTGTCAGCTGCTAAGTAAAACCCATCAGGTGTGTTGTTGTTAGGACAACACAGGCTGACTAAGTCTACTCACCTAAGAGTGCCAAGAGTCTAAGCAGGCAACAAGGAAGTGGAGTAGACCTGATGACTAAGACCTATCTACAGTATAGGTACCTGTGGATGATCCTAAGAGACCAAGTCTGAAGAGACAGTCCCCAGGCAGAGTAGGCCTTATATTTATACCTCTGTGGTGGAACCTGCTAGAACATCTTGCTTACTCAGCCTAGTCAGGTGGTCAGGTCATATGACCAAGGATGAGGTCATATGAGGTCATGCACAGCCATGCACAGCAGGTCACCTGACCATCCAATCCTTCCAGCAGGTTCCAGCACATGCCAAGGTATACCAGCTACTTCCATGTCATAAAGGCTTAGTCATGTCTCTTGACCAAGCAATGAGCTGGTGCCCTAACAGACATATGTGTTACCATGGCTACCTGTGCTACCTGCTTCCTATGACATCTTTCTGGAAAGCAATTGTCTGTCTGCCATGTCTCAAAAACTCAATGGCCTCTTTGCATTGACTGCAATTGGGACAACAGAGGGCTTTGTGCAAGGACTCCAGCCCCCATCCAACATGGTTCTCACAGGTTGCACCTATCATCACATGCTAGATGTGGCAAACCCAACACACTCAATTCATTGGTTCCTTTACAATCAGCAGGAGAGAACAGATAGAGGGCACAGGATGAACATATCTCCAGATTGGCTTGCAGCAGTCTCAGAAGCATTGGAATGCCATAACCCATACATCCATGAACTTCTCACTTTCAGATGATTCCTTT